ATGTAAAATGTTCTGATCTCAGATTCTCATCTATCCAAACAAAGTCTTGCTTGTCCATTTTTAGGAACCTGTGTTTAATACATTTTAATGTTGTTAAGCATGCCATTTAGTTGACATTGATCAAATTTTTTAGCACAAATGATTTGTGTTATTTGTTAGTTTCAGGAAATAAAAGTTTTTTTTCCTCCAAAAGTTGAAACATTTACGTCTACTGTTTTCTACTGGAATGCAAGCAGATAATGCATATCATGCTTCACACAAGTTATTCAAACTATTGTTTATATGATGATTTTTAACATTCTTGATAGGTGTTTTAGTGTTTCACCTATGATGCACTGACAATTCTCCAGTTCTCCTCAAAGAGGAGTGTAGTGTCTGACACATATCCAACATGACATGTGTCCGACACTCTGACATGTATTGCACACACCAAAAATGTGTCCGATTAAAAAAAATGTTAAATGTAAATTGGACATGCGTATCTTAAATATTTTATAATTTTTTTAAAAGGCGTATCTTAAATACAAATTTGATGCTCAATGCTAGCAATTTCTACACACACAATTTGACATCTCATCTTTTTCCAACACTGTCTCAATATCAACGACCAACGTGCTCTCAACATCGACGATAAATGTCCTCTTAACACTGACGCCCAATATTTTTTGCATAGCATCAATGCCTGACTCTTGACAACATTATCATCTCCTCTAGATGACTGATAAATGGCATCGACGCCCGACTCTCGAAATCCTAATATTAATCATTTTAAGCTCAAATTCTAGTTAAATGACTTATTATTTTAAAATTATTTTTAACATTATACTTATTTAATTTTTATACACTATTTTTAAAATATAAAACTATAATATTGTGTTCAATCTATGTCCATGTCCTATATTTTAATAATTAATGTGTCTCATATCTGTGTCATGTCGTATCCGTGTCGCCGTATATATGCATCATAGTGTTTCACATATTAATCATTCACTCTGCACTTTGTCTGCATAAAATGAGAAATCTCATCATAATAATACTTCATATTTACTTAGTTACATATGGTAATGTCCTTAATAGAAGAAAAAACTAGAGCAAACCTCCGTTATCTTCAGCCCCCATCTATTTGCTTCTCATAACCACTTCAAACGAAACATAACAGATAACTAATGGGTTTTTATTTATCAGTGCAACCATGTTTGTTATGAATCAATACTTAGTATCACCAATCTTTTCTCGCAACATCTAAGGTTTCGTTTTGGACGGCTTTCTTACTGCTTCTTAAAATAATTTTTTAGTACAAAAATTTTAATTTTTGTACTAAAAAGTTGCTTTAATAAGCAGTAAGAAAGTTGTCCCAAACAAAAATTGAATCAACTTAGTGGTGGGCATCACTGTCAACCTATTAAATGGGAGAGTTTTTTTATTGTTTCTTAAAACAATTTTTTAGTATAAAAATTATACTAAAAAAGTGCTTTAAAAAACAGTAAGAAAACTGTCCCAAATGAAACCTAAGCTTTAACATTATGTTCTAAGTCTTGCCCAGTTATTAAAAAAAATGTTATATAGACCTACATAACTTCATATTTTGTAGCAAAAAATTGAAATTCTAAACACTTCAAGAATATTACAATTCCCATGCAATTAAGGTTTCGTTTGGGACGACTTTCTTTCTACTTCTTAAAGGAGCTTTCTAGTATAAATTTTTAATTTTTATACTAAAAAGCTGCTTTATGAAGCAATAAGAAAGCCGTCACTAACGAAGCCTAAAGTCTTCATCTTCAACCTGGTATAACTTTTGCACAAATTGAACATAACAAGATAAAGGCACTGAACATAATTGCAACTCAGGCAAAAGACCGACATGGCTAAGATTCCAGACCTCTATGTCTTGAGCAGCTCATAGATTGCTCATAGTTTTAAGCCTGCCAATTCTCCCTCCTTTTCTGTAAGCAGCAATGGACTTACCAGTCGATTGACAATTATCAGAAACTCCGTTAATTTCTTCTCTCCAAATAAAAGAAACAAGAGCAGACACAATAAAGAGAGAAAACCTTTTTGAGTCATGTAATGCTTTTATGCAGAACTAGCTTTCAGAATTTGAAAGAAACCTCAAATAGGTAGTAAGAATATTTTCCTTAAATTTTTATCTTTCATTAAATGATTGAATTATGAAAATTTTTACGTTTTGATACGCCACCAAAAATCGTCACCGTCGAGCATGAATCTCGAGGCATATTTAAGACGGAAACTTTCAAAATTAAATTTGGGATCATATGAACTCCAATTTCAACAAACTTATAATCAAATTGAATGTATGGAAGAGACGAACCCAACGACACTAAAATCGGTCCGATTTGAACCGAAATTGGGAGCCCGAAGCTTATTTGGAAGTTTCAAGGCTAATTTGGATGACCAAATAATATCCAAATATGACGTCCTTATAGTCAAATCAAGCGTCCCTGCGAGACAAATCCAGAGAGCTCAAGATTGTTGAATTCCGACATCAGTAAGGCAGATGAATACTTGCAAATTGCTCTATGATCAGGGGGATCAATATGGGTCATTCGATAAAGCACTTCAAATCTATCCAGATCTTCTCCATATTTATGAGGCAAGCCACTCTAAAAAATCTATAGATAGACTCCACTCTCTACATGAGGAGGGCTTGGAGCTTCGATCTTTTGTTGGAGATTGGAGAGAACTCTGAGGATTCAAGAATCTCCTTTGACTTCCACCGCACTCCACCCGACCATCGTCAAACAACCATCGGGCATCAGACTTCCACCTGGTCGTCGACGGCCACTAAACTATCTTCCGGCCACTGACTAATACTGGACTTCCACCTGGTAGCCGATCGCTGTTAGATTTCCTCTCAATCATCGTCAAACCACCTTCCGGCCGCAGACCACCCTGGACTTCCACATCTGTTAATCATTGTCGGACTTCCGTCCAACCGTCTTTGGTCCACCACCCGATCACCTACTACAATCGGACTTCCACCTGTCCTCTGATCGTCGTTGGACTTCCACCCGAATATTGCTGACCTTTCGCCAAATCATTGTCGGACCATCGCCCGGCAGCAGATCGCTTCCAGACTATCGCCTGGTTGTCGACCATTGTCGAACTTCTGCCCTACTATCTTCAGGCCACCACCTAGTCGCCGACTACTGTCAAACCGTCGTCTGACAGACGACCACCACCAGACCACCACACGATCTCTCTAATAATCGTCGCCTCTGACTACAGTTCCTCCGACCACTATCACCCGCCTTTTGACCTCCGTTACCTCCGGATTATGGTCCCTTCGTCCACCTTCACCCATCGACTAAGGTCCCATTGACCATCGTAGCTCGCCGACTATTGTCCCTTTGACCACCGTCGTCCGCCAACTACGGTTCCTCCGACCTCTTATCTCCCGCCGACTATAGTCCCTCCGACTTCTGTCGCTTGCCAACTACAATCCTTTCGACCATCATCGTCCGCCAACTATGATCCTTTCGACTTCCATCGCCTCCGGACTATGGTCTCTTTGACCACCATCACCCGCTGACTACGATCCCTTTGACTGCTGACAACTCTTTTACCACTATTGTCCGCGGACTACGGTCCTTGCGACCTCCGTCACCCACCTACTACAGTCCCTCGGACCGCCATCACCCGCCAACTGCAATCCCTCCGATCAACATCGCCCTCCGACTATGATCCATCTGACCTCCGTCTACTATTAACTACAGTCCCTTCGATCACCATCACCTGTCGACTATGGTCCCTTCGATTGTTTTCAGAAACGGGATGGCCATCTTGTTGATCTTAGCCTCTATTGATGGGATATTATTATTAATTATGATTAGCATTTCAGTTTATATATTCTTAATGATCATTATTATGATTTTCTCTTTATTTTATGATGAATAATCAAGAAGGTATTGTGGTGGACTGGTAGTAGAAGTCGGAGGACCTTAGAAAGCGAAATTCGACCGCAAACAAACTGTAGCTTTGAAAGGTTAAATGGCTTTTTTTAATTTTTAATTTTTTTTTACACGTTCCACCTCTGAATCTTATATATTTACAATTTTATTTAACAACCTTCTCGAATGAACGGATGAACCGTCACTTAGTCGAATGGACTTGAGTTTGGCTGCTTTTAATTTCGAATGTTTTTATTAAATTTGAGCGATGAAAAAAAGTTTTTGATAAGAGTGATACGTCATCACAAAATTATCTTGATTGGGCACAAATCTCGAGGCAAAATCAGTTCAGAAACTTCAAAAATTAATTTTGGGAGCATATGAACTCCGATTTCAGCGAGCTTACAGTCAAACTGAGCGTCTCGGAAATACGAACCGAACGACACTAAGATCAACCCAATCCGAGCCCAAATGAGTCCGAATCAAGAGCTCAAAGCGCTGTTGGAAGGTTCAAACCGCAATTTGAGTTACCAAATGATCTCCGATTTTGACGAGCTTATACTCAAATCGAACGGCTCGACGAGATGAATCCAACGAGCCCAAGATCATCAAATTCTGACATCATTAAGGCCTTCAAATGACCAACGAATGGTGCATGATCAAAGGATTCGATATCGGCCGTCCATTCAAACCACTCCCAATTCGCCCTTGATCTCACGCCTATTTACGGGCTATGCCACTCCAGAAAAACTATAAATAGAGCCCTCATTCTACACAAAGGGGACTCAAGTGAAGAGAGAGAAGAAGAAGAGAAGGAGAAGGAGAAAGGGAATAGGAGATTCCTCACCTCCTCGACCACAGCCGCCGGAGCTCTTCCTGCCGCCTGAAGACGCCGGAGCTCTTGCGCTTGAATCAGG